TTCATGACAGAAGGTAAAACAAAGCAATGGCCGAACACAGTTTTGCAACTTTGGCATGTAAAACAACTTTGGTGTTAGGAAAACTGTACATATCTTTGTAACCACTTAGTATATCCAGGTGAATCAGAATAAATTGTGCCTTCCTTTGGTGGTAAATGGTAATGAATATCTCCTGTTTTTTGCTACAATCAAAAGAAAAAGTGGCCCAGAATAGTAAAAACAAAAAAAACCATATATATATATATATATATCACACAATTTTAGCTGTATGTATTTATTACCATGACCGACCAACAAAAACACTCCAAAATAAATACTCCCACTCCTGACAGTCACAACAATACCACAATTTGCTGTTTAAATCCTTATCCTCTAGCAAGGAGAAAACAATACGATTGGGGAAATTTATTAAAACTGGAGCAGACAGAATCTGGAGCAGTTGTCCATAATAACAAATCAGCCTCTATCTGCAGATTGTTCAGGGAAGCTTTGAAAATGAAAGATAGAAGCTGGTTGGCTGCCATGCACAACTGTTTTTTGTCTGCTCCAGTTTGGATAAATTACCCTCCATGTATGTCTTTTTTCCATGCAGAGGAGTAAGAGATTGGGAAGTCTCTACAGCTAATAACCACTGTGATAGTCAATCACAGGTTATCATGTGATTGGAAGCTAGTCTTCCTAGCTCCGGATTGTTAGTATGAGACCTGGAGCAGTCAGTGACAGCTCAGTCTCCATGCTGTGGGCATGCTATTGTGTGTGCTTTCAGACCAAAGACTGGTGCCTAGAAAGAAAGTCCGCTTTCTTAACACCGCATATACGTGTTACGCGGTCAAGGAGTTAACAGAACTTTTATTTTTAGTTCTGTTGCCCTTCACTGGCTTTAAAGACTGAAAGCCGGCGGGTACAGAGCACATGAATGTTTTTTTTTTATATCAGTGCTTTAAAATGAGCCCCTGAGCATTGAAGAAAGATAGTAAAAAAAGACAGCTAGGAAAGTAGCATTTGCAGAAGTAGCAATGGCAGCCTCCATGTCTCTCTCTGGAAAGGTTTCTTTTAATGAATTTGATAAACTATATATTTAGCGCACTCTTTCACTGTGACCATGAATGTTAGTAAGAAACGTGCCAGAGCAAAGACACATCTCATGCTTTAGTACATATTTATGTAAATACCCTGAGCACAACATGCATGGGTAATAATAGAGGGTCAGTGTAATGAAAACTATCATTTTATTTTTCGGTGGATCTCAGCAGACGAATCACCCTTTAACTCCAGCATTGGGATCTTTGTATTTTTCTTCAACCACGACCAATAAGAGAAAGGACACATGCAGAGAATTGTAGCATCCTTTCATAATGTACTGCAGAAACTGGCAGGCAGTGATGGAGCCAAAACAGTAAGCTTCTAAAGCTTTGGTCAAGTTTTGGTCAACTGGTGGGTCGTGACCCAAAAGTGGGTTGCGACCCCGTGTCCAGTGGGTCGCCACATGCCTTCCACTTTTCTAGGTGAGAGGTTCCTCAGCCACCCCCTAGCGCAGTGATGTCAGTTCTCGCACCAAGCGGCCATTCAAAATATGCTGCCAGGCACAGAGTGTCGCCTTAAGGTGGGGTGGGCTGGGGTAATGGCCACGAGGGAGCCCCATCCAAATGTGCATTGCTTACAGCTCCCTTGCATGCCTTGTAGAGGTGCCTGAACTGGAATGACTTCACATTCTGGTTCCCGGCACATCTACGGCATGCATGGGAGTTGTACAAGCAATGCACATATGGATGGAGCTTCATGACAGCACAGCAGCTCACACTGGACCCCAGGTTGAGGATCCACTCCAGTTTTCGTAAGGTAGGGAGACTGGGTGGATCTTAACAAAAAAGAAAAAAAATATACATATGTCTGTGGTTGTGTGGGTCTGCGAGTGTTTTTGAGGGCCTGTTCACACAATGCAGTAGGGCTGCAACAACTAATCGACATAATCGATTATAATCGATTATTGAAAAAGTTGTCAACTTTTTCAATAATCGATTAATCGGCTTCTGATCAGTTGGCCCTGTTCACGGCTCCACACACGCTGCGCGCCACACCTCCTCCTCACCTCACGCTCGCCGCTGCCAGACCCGCCAGCATCCACACTCTTCACGCCGCACCTCCTCCCCGCCTCACACTCACCGCCCGCCCACATCCACGATCGGCACAGGGACGTGGGGAGATGTAGTAAGGAGGAGCAGGTGTGGGCGGATGACAGCCGCTGATAGGTCCGATCTCAGAAGCAAGTTGCTGGAAGACTGCTCAGTTAAGCCTCCACTTTCCCACACATGGTGCTCTATAATGTATTGCTCTATAGCTGATGGTACATTGTGCTGTATATTATACATAGGAATACAAATCCCAGCAATACATTGTACACTGTATGTATAATGTACTATTGCTGGGATTTGTTGTACTCCTATATAGCTGGTGATATTCTGCACTGAGCTGTATAGAGGACTACAAATCCCAGCAATAATACATTATACAGCGCAATGTGGAATACCACAAGCTATAGAGGAGTACAACAAATCCCAGCAATAGTACATTATACATACAGTGTACAATGTATTGCTGGGATTTGTATTCCTATGTATAATATACAGCACAATGTACCATCAGCTATAGAGGACTACAAAACCCAGCAACAGTACATTATACAGTGCAATGCAGAATACCGCCAGCTATAATGTACTATTGCTGGGATTTGTAGTCCTCTATAGTCGGTGCCATTCTGCATTCATTGCTGTATAATTTTACACTTTCCTTTTCACTATATTGCACACCACTATTTTTTTTTCTTTCCTTTTTTATTTACTTCTACCGCTCCAATCTTGCTCCTGTGATGGAGTGCAATCTCAATACAAACTAGTAGTCCATCACTGGAGCCATTTTTAAAAATGTATTTGATTGTTTATCCGATTAACCGATTAATCGAACTTAATAATCGGCTAACTAATCGATTTTGAAAATAATCGTTAGCTGCAGCTCTACAATGCAGTACCATGTAATCGTACCTACCGTGCATTCTGCTGTGGGAGGTGCGTTGTATTGCCAGTCATTTAAATGGCACCCCAAAGCACCTCCCACCCACAGTTCGATCGCCTGCACCGGAAAGTGTGGTACCGCAATGCTGTGCGTTCCATTGCAGTGCGACCTGGGTCACTACTTAATGACCAAGGACAAATGTGGGTCCTGAGGTTTCACCACTTTTCTAAAGGAAACCTTGCATCTCATAAAGACTATTAGATGAACCCATCCAACAGCATCCATCCTTAATGTATATGTGACGTCTGTGATTAACAAGCACACTTTATATGCACTTCTTAAAGACACTTTAAAACTGTATACCAATTACAAATACGTTTTATTCAGCAGTCACGCGACCGCAAGAGTTCCACTACGAGCCCTCTTTCGTGGGGAGGGATGTATAGATGGAAAGAATGCCAACTTGATAGAGATATTGCTACATTCAATGCAGCATTGGCTAAGGAAGGCTAGGTGGGGGAAATAAATTATAAAAGGGGAAGTTATTTTCGGTTTCAGCCTGACAAATTCTGCTGCAGGAGGTGCGTTGCAGTGCCATTCATTTAAATGGCACCCCAAACACGCCTCCCACCCACAGTGTGATTGCCCGCACTAGAATGCACGGTACCGCAATGCCGTGTGTTCCAGTGCAGTGCGATTGCGAAAAATTGTGCATGCAGTTTTATTCTGAAGTAAACTTTATGTTTTCAGCACTGCATTTGTGTATTTTATTTTAAATGAAGGATGGTATTTAATGTTTTTAATCCGATTAATCGAAAAAATGTAATCAGCCAACATCGATAATGACAATACTAATTAGTTGCAGCCCTACCCATATGGCACAATCATGCCCAAAGGCTCAAGCACCCACTATGTCCTAATCTGTAGGTACCACTTCTTAAGGCAACCCCCTGGTCAACTGCACATCTGAGACCTCCAGCGATCTCTATGTACCTTTCTAGAGCTGGGACCCCTTGGTAACATTTGCCAGGTTGTGGTGACCCCCAATGGTAAAATTTAGGAATGCACCAATACTAGTATCTGTGTGGGTCCTCAGGTGGCCAGTGTGGGCTCATGTGAGCTCAATGGGGCTCTCTCTCGGTCAATGGGGCTCTCTGGTGGCCAGTGTGGGCTCTCTGGTGGCCAAGCCAGCATTTTACTCCCCTCTCTTTGATCCTCCTCGGCTGCCGGTGCTGCAGCTCCATCTAGCGGCACGGCCGGAGAACAGACACTGTTGGTCTAGGAGGTGGCTGAGGAGCCTCCCACCTAGCGCAGCACAAAGCATGTGGTGACCCCCATAACAGTGGGTTGTGACACACTTTTTGGTCGCGACCCACAGGTTGAGAACCACTGATGTAGGTAAGCCAAAATGAGCAACTCCTTTTGGATTCCTGAACACTTTGTGCAATAAACGATCCTCCGGCATCTGACCTGACACTGCAGCTTGATGACCAATTTAGTAGAGGTAACAACAAAAAGAAACATACTGATGCTCCATATCATTGGCACAAAAAAGGGAAGCCGTGGAAGACCAGGGCCATTGAATGCGCCATTTTACTTCCCATGCGGTAGGTGGAGACTTTTTCTTTTTCCTGGGTTGTTATAGAAGATGAGCTGGGGACAAAACAGGATACGATGCTAATCATTTATATGTAACTTGCTGTTGTCTTACCTAGTGATACATGTTCATTGGTTAAGGTTTTACAGTTTCCTATATGCTTCTTGGGTACCACTAGATAATGATGTGGTGCTCCAGGTCTTATGTCTCTAAAGCAGGTGAGATCCTCCTGTGAATAGAATCACCCACATTAATATATACTATAACCTAATAAAAGCTGCACAATGAAAAATCTAAAAAGACACATAAATAACTATGCCAGTTGGGATATCAAAAGTATAGTTGTCATTAAGGACTCAGAGCATTCTTTTATATAAGAGTCATACATCAAACATTTCACAAACCTGGGTAATTCAGACTGAACATATGATGAAAAGTAGAAGTTACCATTAGTGAAAACCAATGACTTTAGATTCCGTAGATCCATCACTCTACACATTTCTTGCGCCTGTTAATGGCTTTGAACTGTGCCGCCTGGGGAGGGCTCAGATCACAGACACGGATTAGAGAGCCAATCCAAGCGACTCTGTACTTTGTGATCACTGTGAAGACCAATCAAAGCGATCACAGATATAAACAGTGTAGTGTTTACAACATCTCCATCCTTCTCTGTATGTGACCTGTATATAAACTCTCCACCTCCCTTATCCTGCACATTAACCCCTCCATCTTTACCCTACAACTGTATGTGACCCATACATTGTTTTGTTTTTATTTTATTCTTTGTAGCATCTCGTGTGCTGCAGATCTGCAGCCACTAATTATCCTCATACAAATATTTACTCCAGCGCTGGCTGCATGGCAATTCTCAGGGTTGGTTTCCTGATGGTGACAAAAATCGAGGCACAGATACTGGCTTATAAGTATCGAGGACCGATTTCTTTCCCGGGTAGTCGCCGATACCAAATACTGATACCGGCACCTGTGGGCCCAGAAGTCCTGATTACCTGGGAAGCCGATGTTCTTTCAAAAGAACACCGGCTTCACTTTCCTCACGACACTGCGAGGCAGCCTGGCTTCCTGACCAATTGGATTGGTCAGGAAGCCAGTCTTCCTAGCAATAAGTGAAGCCAGCTTCCTATCTAATCAGGAAGCCTGGAGCTAGCTCATAACCTGCCGCCTGGCTACCTGTTTGGTGGGGAATCCGGCTCCATGCTCCCTAGTGGCACTGCTGGTCACAGGAAGATTTCCCTCTGACCTGAAGTTCCGGTATTGGGGGTAAGTATTTGAGCATTTGGGCGAGTTACAGAACTCACCCAATTACTTGGTATTGGCACTGATACTACAGTAGTATTGGTACATCCCTAGTGACAACAGTGGACCATACTGGGCTAAAATCGCCATCAGAAACCTTGTGGCAGGGTGACAACATAGGTATTAACCTGGGAGACAAAAAGGACAGAGCATTGTCATTTTTTAACTTTAAAGAGGAACTTCACCGAATCCAGTGTGGTCATGCTGCAATCCTCTGCTCCACTGCCACATGCCAGGTCCAGCGCTGCCATCTTCATCTCCTCTAATGTAATGGGGAGTTGGCCCCCAATGATGGACCACCAATTCTGCCCCCCATCTCTGTGTGTCCCTGCTCCTGTAGCTTACTCTGATTTATGACAGGGATGCCCCAAGATGAATCATTCCTGCCTATGCGAGAATAGAGGCAGGGTACGGGCCAGAGTAAACAAACAAAAAATAGCGGGACGCTCTGGTTGGTAGGTATCCCAGCCAGGCAACCAGTGAGCTGGCCAGACAGACCTAAAACCAGGAGGTACCATGCACCACCAGCAGCCCCTTGGTAATTTGCACCCCCACCCCTGGGACACCACTGATAAAGATTACATATCACATTCGGCACAAAGAGTTTTATAAATCAACAGATCGTGTAGGTAATGGTGCAATACCCCTTCCATGTATGTGACCTGTACTGTGAATAAGAAAGCAGAGAGATAAGAACACCTGGATTGTGCACAACCTTATCACTGACAGGCAAATACAATCCATCTGACAGCTAGCAACCCTGCAGTACTGATGAGGCTTGTTCTGGTCTAGTAACTCACAGAAACCAATCAGAACGGATAATTAATTGAGGTGACTACAGTAATCACCCACCTGATTGGTCAATGCTGTCTTTTGTGTTTACTACTTTCCTGTCAGATCAGTGCTCTCCAGCTAGAACCCCAGTGCTGTCATAGAGTGCAGCTCCTGCCCATGACTACTCACATCAGAGTGCAATAATTCGGCATCACCCTCCTGGTTGTTGGAGATCTTGCAGAAGATGCACCGGCTGTCATAGCTGGCTGGGTTATGCTCCTCGCCCTCCGCTGACATGCTGCCCCCTTGTACCCGCACACCGGCAACAGCTGAGACCCCGCCCTGTCAGGGCTTCGCTTTGTGTCCTGCTCCGCCCACCTCCCGGGCTCGCACACTTCCTGCACACTCCTGCCGTGACGTCACCAGGGAAGATGGCGCTGTCCTGTAAGAGCGGTGCTGCATTGAAGAAGTATCTGCTGCTGCTGGCTCAGGAGAACTGCGAGTTCCGTTTGCCGGTGAGACCGTGGCCTCAGTCCATCCACCTTTATAAAGGAGCGGGCTGTTGACCCCTGAGTTGTGTGTAGGAGGCCCAACAGCAGGGGCTGCAGCATGGGGGCTCCTGGGCAGCATGGTGTGACAGTATTAAAGGCATATACACCTTTTGGCAAACAATAATAAATGCACACACATTAATGAAAGAAAATTGTTATGCATTTGAGCCTGCAAAGTATTGCAACCACAGTCAGCAGATCACGGGTGCAATGCTCAGACCCCTGCAGACTATTCCCCCAGTCCCTACTGTTATGGTAAACGATGGAACACGAGTGTGGTGACATCATCGCACTTGTGCTCTATTGATATCTGTGAGCCCCTCTGTCACAGATGGGACGTGTAGTCTTTTCATTCATAGATCCATGTGAATAGATCTGCCAATGAATTACTTGCTTGTGTGGGCGGAGCCATGCACAGTGGTGTCAAGTTCAAACATACACAAGACACTACAATACAATTCAGGTAAGGTGGCGGTTAGGGAATGCGACCATGTTTCATGGGTGTAACATGAAACATAGTCACAAAGGTGGAGTATCCTTTTAACCTTACAGAGTCTTCACCCATGAACTGACCATCTGATTCCTCCCCTCTCTTTCTTTCACAATCACAGATAGTTTATGTGTGAAGAAGTGAATGCCTTTTTCTTCTTTAATAGTTCTGTGGCCCACCACTTACTGATTTCCCCTATAGGCAGGGGGTGATGCAGGGATCCCGCAGCCTCCCCGGATGTTCATCTCATACAGGAGGTAGTGTTTTTAGTGAGCAAAGAATATTGTGCAATCTCAGTCCTGGCAGAGACCCACAACATGTGCGTGAGATCTCATGGTGCGCATGCAAATCAGGAGGCAACAAGAGTTTCAAGATGGTGGCGTGGCAGCACAAGCGGAACTTTAGCTACAAGAAAGACAGCGCTGGACACCATGGACTTGTAAGTATGTCCCCCCCCCAGTCTTCTCCCAGGACAGCACAGGAGTACAGAGAAGTCTCCCTCAGGAAAACTAAGTCCTCCCTTGGGACTGATAACCTCTTATATTCCAGCAGTCCAGTGGGCCCGATTTTAACAATAATAACTTTAGTCTTTTATTCTGAAAGCGTGGGATCTCTTATGTTTGTTAGTGGGATTATTTTTGTCCTTTAGTTATTGCCTATACTGAGGTGAATGACAGAGAGATGACCTTTTAATCTTTGACCTGGCAATATGTTTCTTGTCCTGGGTGAGGAGCCTCTATCTCTCACAGAAGGTAATGTCTTCTGACTTCTTACTGGAAGTTGGATAGGGCCTTTCATACCGCCATCAGTTTTCTCCAAATAAAGGACTGCTTTGCCTCCAAAGTCCAGTGGCCCTGAGTTATTAAATGTTCCAGATGTGCTCCCCAAGTGCTTGGATCCGTGGTAAGTCTTCATGAACGTAAGGAGAGACCGTAGGAGACCCTCTGTCAAATGAGAATGCTCCCACCACCACCATCACCATAGACTGTGTTGCCCTTGGGGTGTGAGTCTTACTTTGTAATCTAACAATGCCTGGAAGCAATCCCACACTTTGAGAAGAAAGGGCTGAAGTGGAGCTTGATGAAACTGGTCCTACAGGCCTGCTGAGATACAAGAGGTCATCAGTCCATTGAGGACATAATTTCCCTGAGGGAAGCAGGGAGACTTCTCTTTACTCCTGGGCTGTCCTCGAAAACACCGACTGGAAACAGTCTACCTCCCTTTTTTTCCCCCATACAAAGCCGATTATTAGAGAGATGGAATTTAGTTTTACCTAGGTAGGGTGAAGGTAGGTAGGGTTCCTCTTTAATGACCTCATCAGAGTTCAGGCAGAGTATGTGATGAGCGTATCCACATATTCACTAGATGAATAGCAGTATATTATAGTGTTCAGGACATTCACATCTCTACGATTTGGTGAGTTGCATGTGCATTGTGTTATTGAAATAAATAAAATCCTGCTGTCTTTCTTTGGGGCAGTTTCCAGCTCAATGGTAACACACATGAAGTGCCTGCACCTAGAATGCAGAGGTATTACATGGTCCTGTATGCTCTTGTATGAGATGTGTTGCAATATTGTAATTGTAATGTCTTCCATATATTGTAAAGCGCTGCGCAAACTGTTGGCGCTATAGAAATCCTGTATAATAATAATATATTGCATAGTAGATGTAAGAGTGTACTTACAATTACCATGCTTTGTTTCATTTCTAACAGATGTACTTTGCCTTTTCAATCTATGAATCCCTTTCTTTTTTTTTCTTGCAGGAAATCCAGTCTTTAATCTCTCTGTATGGAGGTAATTTTAGCAATATTCAAGATGACCATGGAAAGGTACGTCATTTACATGGAATTATTTCTTTCTAGACACCTGGTTTGTGTCCAGTTTCCAAGTCTTAAAGCCCATGGCAGCCAAAAGTTTAACTTTGTTTTCAGTAGAGCAGGTAAGGGTTAAAGACTCAACAGGTTTGTATTGCTCCCTGTCCCTATGAGGCAGATTCCCCTTGCTTCCAGGGAGAACAGGAAGTGATGGGAAATCTTTCCTAAGGGGACACAGCTAAATACAACATATTTTAGGTATAGTGGGGAAGGGTTAGCATATTTAACAATGTTTTTATTGTCATCCGTGCCTTTGTATCCTGGTAGCAACTATGGATGCACCGATACCAAGTACCGTACTTGGTACAAGTACAAGTACAGATATTTTTCCAGCTCCAAGACTAGGCTAGAGAAAAATTCAAAAGTTAGGAGGCAGCTGTCATTTGTAAGGAGCACACGGAGCTCCTGGGATTTGTACATCTCTGTTTTCATGTATGATTTTGTTTTTATAAATAGAGATGCACAGATTCCATTTTTGCAAGTACAAGTGCTGATAGTTGCCCAAGTACTCACAGATACAAGTACTGATACATTTTTGTGTATTGTCATGTGACAGTTTTTTCTAAAACAATACAGACTAATGATTTCAGGACAGTGGTGGAGAGCCAGAGCCCTGTCACAGCTGCAATCCTGGTAGTTCTCATGAAAATGTTAAGTATTGGCACTGGTATTGGTGCATCCCTAGTAACAACTATACCCCACATTTTTTGTATGGGCATCGCACTGTCAGGAAATGAGGGAAAATCTCCCCAGTCGGGTGGCATACAAAAAGGAAAGCCTGATAAAAACTATAACTCCCCCCAAAATTGGCTTTTAATAAACTCCTCTGAGTGAAGCAAACCTGGGATAATATTTCTCTTTAGCCCCAGTCCATTGATTTTTTCCCCTGACAAGGTCCCAGCTGGCTTCTTTTTCATCCCTATGGCTAAGCTGTATAAGGGACTTGTTGGATGTTTGTCAGAGGAAAGATTGCTGAATTAAAGGCAAGTATTATCTCAGCTAGGCTGAACTAATAAAGGAAGGAATCAGGTCACTTAAGGTGAAGTTGGCCACGCCCCCTCTGAGGAAGTCCCATTCCGGGAGGAAGCGCATCAAAGCATGTGCGGCTGCTTCTCTGGTGTAGTGGTGGTAATCCCTCAGCGTTCGGGCGCCATCTATGTGATGCTGTGACTGTCTGGATTTGTATGATCCTGCATTGCTGGATGCATTTGGCTGAGGATTTAAGGGGATTGCTTGAATTCAGCGAACAGGAGGAGCACCACTCACCTATGAGATCATGGACATGTGAGTAATGGAAGATTAGCCTATATTGGCTATGTACTATTAATTTACAGCAACGGCTATGTTCCGGATGGCTCTATAAGCGGAGACCTTTTGGGATATTTATATGGATGCTCCTCTTCCTTGATGTACATATGAACTATGCTATCTTACTTGCTATCCTGAAGCTCCATTTTTGGGAATTCTTGCTTGAAATATGTGCACTTATGTAATCCGTGCCTGAAATGTATGCACATACTGGGAATGAATCCTTGCTTGAAATATGTGCACTTATGTAATCCGTGCCTGAAATGTATGCACATACTGGGAATTCTTACTTGAAATATGTGCACTTATGTAATCCGTGCCTGAAATGTATGCACATACTGGGAATCCTTACTTGAAATATGTGCACTTATGTAATCCGTGCCTGAAATGTATGCACATACTGGGAATCCTTGCTTGAAATATGTGCACTTATGTAATCCGTGCCTGACATGTATGCACATACTGGGAATCCTTGCTTGAAATATGTGCACTTATGTAATCCGTGCCTGACATGTATGCACATACTGGGAATCCTTACTTGAAATATGTGCACTTATGTAATCCGTGCCTGACATGTATGCACATACTGGGAATCCTTGCTTGAAATATGTGCACATATGAATGACTAGGTGATGAACGCATGACATAAAAAAATCAATTCTGCACTTATCCATTAATATAAGCGGTGATGTGATTTTTGGCAAAACAGGAATAAGGCACTTTATCCAATGCGCATTTGTTTTTTGTAAGAGGATGTTTTGCTTGTATATCCCGTGACCGGTTGCTTAGAGAGTTTTGAGCCGCTAAATATGTTTGACATCAGGGCAGTTTCTAATATTCAGTACCCAAAGTATATATGGTTAATTATGCATTGAGCCCCCCTTTTTGTAAATAGGGGAGAATGCTTATACAGATCATGCTCAGATATGAAGACGAATGAACTGTCAAAGTTTGTATCTCAGTTTCTACATCACACATTATCCTTTTATATTTCTCCACATTTCATAAAGCAGCACCCCCCCACCACACACACCCACACCCACCCACCTTCAACTGGTTTACATGTGTTATGGCTGTATATCTGAAATATAAAACCAATTTCTCAGTGTCCTCTTTATTAGATACTTATGTTCCTAAACATC